AGACGTCTCGGTGGAAGTTGTCCTTTCCATCAGGAACCCCTCGCTGAGCTGTACCTTTGGAAGACTGTGCACCTGGAAGGCCCACGGGACACTCCGTCAGAGCGGGAGCTGACTCCCCCGGCAGTGGGCTGTTGGCCCCTACAAGCCCACCTCCTTCCACCCATTTTCCTATCACAGGGGCCCCATGTCAGACTCAGTGGGGCACTGAGGACGGGTCTCCTGGGGCATCTGGAGGACACAGCCAGCCAGGGCTGGAGCACCCTCAGCCCCCACCACCAGTCGGGGCAAGGCGGTCAGTGGATGGTGCCCCGCTCCCCTCAGACCCCCCCACCCTACCCCAGTTGCTCAGCTGGAGTGGCAGAACTCCAGCCCCACCTGGCCCTGGCGTGTGGGGATGGATCCTCCCCCACTGCAGGCTGGCCAGGCCTAGCAAGTGGGCCATACTGGTACCGGTGTACTCACAGGTGTGGCCAGGGGTTAAAGTGCCTTGGCAGGTACGTTAAGTAAATCTCAGTTGGTACAGCAGCAGCTGCCAGGCTAATGTGCAGTTGAGGACATGCTTCTGAGTGGCCTGGGCACACCCAGGAGGGGACCTCCCTTCTACCACCTATACCCCTGGAGAGCCAGCAGTGACCTGGAAGCCTCTCACCTTCACCCACGAGGCGCAGGCTCAACAATGCAAACACCGTTTGAGCAAGTACCTGACCGCACCACCTCAAAATGAGGATGAGCCCTGACCCTGAGGTGTGGGGAGCTGATGGGGCCACCCACCGGCCAGCGCCTGCCCTGTGTTCCACCCTGAGCCGGGAGCGGAGTCCAGTGTGTACGGGCTGCAGTTTATGAACAGGGGAGCTGTCCACTCGAGCAGGAGAGAACGGAATTTATTCGGTATAAAGAGCACCTGAAGGAAAACCGCCTGCGGCCTTTGGGAGAGTCGTGCCTCCCAGTGGGAGAGAAAGGCCCCGCAAATGCCCACTGGCCGAGGGCTCTAGCCTCGGGTCACACTCCTCAGCCCTGAATGTCACTGTGCAAAACGGTGCCCGGTGTGTCCACACCCCCAGCCCACGGGGCCTGTCACAACTTGGGGGCCACACCGGAGACGGGCAGGGACACACACTGAGAAGTCCCAGCCCAGAGCCACAGGCGCCTGCCTGACTCCCGCGAGCACACTCTGAGGGGCCCCAAGAGGCACAGACCCCGGGGCCAGCCCACTGCCGGGAGCAGGCCTGACTCGGTTCTGTGAGATTCATTCGTCAGGACCAACCGACTGGCCGCCCTTACAATCTGTGGGGACAGGGGACCAGGTGCAGAAGGTTCGGCCTGTGTAAGAATTCCTCCAGCAGAGCGCCCATGCCTGCCAGCCACCTGGGCCTGCGCCCTTACCACGCGCCAGACAGCGCCCCCGACAAGACGGCTGTGGGGCAGGGACTGAGTGAGTGATAAATAGCTTTACTGCGGTGAAGACAACGCACAGCGGCGGGCTCAGGTGTGAACAGCGAGCGCGTGGCGCTGGAAGCGTTTCCAGGGTTCTCAGGACTCATCCTCTGGCTCCTCTTTAATCTCCGAAATTCTGTCTATGGATTTGAGGATCTCGGCGACAAGGTTCAGCGTCTCCGCTCCAGAAACCAGCTGCCTAAAACAGATGGCACCATCAGCCGTCACCGCAATTGTCCGAGAGTAGTGATGTGCGCACTGCCCACTGGGAGGCGACCTCGCCCGAAAACTGCTCTCACCAGGAGCTCCACAGCCTGGTGGCGCAGCCCCTTACACGCAGGCTGCCAGACCAGCCACTGGAGCCGGTCAGCTGCCCTTCGGCGAAAGAACCAGAGTCTGGGAAGCCCTGGGCAGCTCTACCCTGTCCTACAGGGTCCTGAGTGGGCACCGCCTCTACAGCAGCAGGTTGGCTTTCAGGGGCTTCCTTCCTCCGTGGCTGTGGGGGGCCCTCGGCTGCTGTGTTGATCTGGCCTGAGTGGCCGTGCAGGACGGCAGAGCGCTCACACAGGGTGTCTGAGGGTCAGCGGGCACGGCAGGGGATGGCCCCGTGCACGCCTGGTGGACCGGGACTACTGGTGTCTGCTCAGCTCTGCAGTGCACCAGGGCTCTCGCACAGGGGACCCTCACCCCCAGCAAAGTATTTAGGCGTCTCCGAGGTGGAAGAGCTGGGGCGCACGCTGTCCGACCTCGGCTCACGCCTCCCGGGGGACGGGGACAAGGCGATGGCGGCCACACATACTTTATGGACTCGTGCGCGTTGCTTATGACAATCCGGAGGTTCTGCAGGGCCATGTCGGTGTTCTGCTTTACCACGGTCAGGCTGGCGCCCTGGCCGCACCGCAGGGCCTCGTTCTCCTGCTCGAAGGTGGAGATCTGCGCCTGGGGAGGGCACGGGCCGTGTGAGCAGAAGGTCTCCTGGGGTCCCGGGACGGAGTGACTTGGAGGGGAAGAGCTCGGGGGAGCCCCCTGGGTGGTCACCTGGAGCAGCCCCAAGTCCTGCTTCAGCTTCACCACCTGGCTCTCTGCCTTCACGGCCCGTTTCTATGACACAGAGAGAACCTGCTGTCGCGGCAGTGCCGGCTCCCCAATGACCAGGCCCCCATGCAGGCCCCTCCCCACCCGGGGTCCACCGAGCTCCAGGTTCTCACGGTCATCAGCTCCAGGTTCTGCTCCACCTGCTGGACCACGGACTCCAGGTCACGGTAGTCTCGCTCCTCCTTGGCCATCTTCGCCTCCAGCCTCCGCTCCAGCGTCCTCACCCTTGGCAAAGGTCACCGGCTGTTACTCGAGGCTACTTCTAACAGGTGTGCCCACGGGGTGCAGCAGCCTGCCACCACAAACCGCTCACTACAGAGGAACCCTCAGGTTGGGGCATTGGGAGGGGGACAGTGGACTGGCTGAGCTCAGTGGCTCTCTCTTGAGGGCTCAAAATCAGCCCTGACACAGAGCCAGCTGGGTGCTTGGGGCTGAGGGCCTCCCAGGCCCCACCGGACACACCAAGAACACTGCGTGCCGGCTGTGCACATGGGAACCTAGACCTGAGCCCTTGCCTGGGACCTTACATACATTTCTGTTTGAGTTTCAGAGAAGCTCTGAACCTCATTCAGCTTTCTTCTTAGCTTAGAGTTTTCCTCTTTCAGCTGTAGAGAGAGAAAGCCCTTGTTAGGAACTCTGATGCCGCCTCACTTGCTCGCAGGGGCCCGCCCTGGGGCAGCACAGCTCTGGGCCCAGCGAGGTGGTGCCTGGGGAAGCCAGGGCCTGCGGTCGCTGAGGACCCTTTTACATGTCCCTTACTACTGGTCTTGGGAGCCCTGGTGGCACAGTGGCGATGAGCCGGGCTGCTCACCGAGGTCCCCGGTTCAAAGCCACCAGCCGCTCCGCAGGAAGACGGGGTCTTCTACCCGACCCCCCCGAGCTAGTCTCCTCGTGAGCAAAAGCCCACAAGGGCAGTTCGCCCGCCAGAGTGGCTGTGAGCCAGCCTCGACTGACGGTGGCGAGCACAGACGTCTCCCTCAGACCACGTCCCCAACTGTCCCTTGGGCTGGCTGGCTCCAGACCACCTCCTTTCTTAAGGGCCACACCTGACCCAGCCAGGGTGGGGCACGCTCACAGGTGTCACGGGGACCAGGAACAGACAGCAGACAGTGTCTCGAGCTCAAGGTCTGGCCCCAGGGTGACAGCGCAGCCTCTAGGCTGTTGGGGGAGGGCGCAGCACTTACTGCTTCGTAACTTATCTGCAGCGTCCGCAGGTGGCGGTCCCCCAGAGACTCTCCATGGGCTGCAAAGTCTGGGCTGGGACTACTGGAAGGGGGCTCTGGAGAGGCGCGGGAGCCCGTGCCACTCAGCGTCCACGGGGGCAGCAACTCGGGCCCCGCCAGCTCCGATGGGCTGGAGAAGAAGGACACGTAGGTGCTGCAGGGGGATGTGCTGGTGGCCGCCCTGAGGGTGTGGGTCTGCTCTACTGAGGACGGCAGGTAAGCCCCCGTCCAGGTGTCGTCCTCGTCCTCATCCTCATCCAGGAGGTCGCCGGCCCCCGTGGGGTCTTCGAAGAACGGCTGGGAGTACTCCAGGCTGTACCCCACGGTGTGTGGGCTGGGGGAGCGGCGTTCGAGCCCCAGGGAGTGCCGTGGGGCCTCCTGGGGAGAAAGCAGGACGCCAGCTGCCACCTGGTGCATCGGGAGGGCAGGCCCCTGCCCACCGCCCGGCCCCCAGTCCTTCAGGCTGGCTGGCCTGAGTTACCTTCGTGTAACCCCGACTGTTGGGGGGCTCCTCTTTGGACAGGCTGAAATTCTTGGTTTTCAGGAACTCCTTAAAGGAGAAGGGATTCACCTCCTCAAGCTCTTCAAGTTTGTCATCTGTAACCACAGGAGACAGGCCGGCCTGTGACACTGCCCCTCGAGTCCCGTCCCGGCACGCCAGCCCGGAGCCCAGGATAACTCGGGGAGATCTGAAACCAAGCTCGCTGCCACAGCCAATGCCGACCCGCAGCGACCCTCTGGGGCCGGGTAGAGCTGCCCCTGAGAGTTTCTGAGACTGGTGTACAAGTGTCGTTCTCCCGTGGAGGGCTGGAGGTTTTTGAACTGCTGACCTTGCATTTTGGAGCCCAGTGTGTGACCCACTGCGCCACCAGGGCTCCTGGGGGGGAGGGGGTGCCAGAAGGAAGCAGACCAGCAGGAGTGTGGACAGCACCACCCCTCCCTTGCTCGCTCCAGGGGCCCTGTCCCTTCCCCAGGCCCCCGGCCCCACATGGAGGTGCCAGGCCCTCCAAGCCCATCAGCGTGTGGACGCCTGAGCACTGCGGGCACAGCGAGGGAGAAGAGGGCGTTGGTGGAAGGACTACTCTACCTCCAAAGCGTGTCCCGTGGGCCCCGGGCAGGCCTCGCTCAGCACCTTTCCCCTTTCCACAGCCAAAATCTGCAAAGACACAATGTCATCCCCACAATTGCTCAGGGACTCTACTGCAGGGGTCCTCACCATG